CGAACTCAGAGCGTGTCACACCCCCCATTCGTTCATTCACGCAGGATAACGATAATCATGATTAACTGTTTTCAACAAAATGTTGAACGATATTTTCGTATCGTATCATATATACATATCAAGCTTTTAATGTACCAATAAAAATCAATTTACTACGAATATGTTTGGCTTGGAAGCACAAACAGTCCAGTATTCCTCACCAACTGTTTACTAATTTCTCGAGCGTATCATTTCAGGGTTCATTTATTCAGTCAAGGATAAAAACCATTTATCCTGATTTCGCATTAAATACAATTTTCATCACCGCGGTTGCAATGCTGGCAACCCCTTATGAAAAAGAAGCGTCAAACATGGACCATCGACAGCAATTCCCATATGCTTAAATCAAAGCCTAGTTACACATAACTCACAAGACATCATTCATAATATATAATGGAGGCGCAAAAACCTGTTTTTCCTTCTCGCTCCAATGTAGCTCATCGCCCATAATTTCAATGACTTTTGGTAACGCCTCCAAGGCCGCATGTGTATTAAGAAATGCCAGGCGGGATCGACGTGCAATGAAATCCACCGCTGTACAGGCGTACTCTCGAATCGCATAGATAATCTGAATGCAGAAAAGATATAAAATTAAATGACAAAACAATTAAAATCTACAAATGATAGAAAAATACGTGAAGAGAATTGAGAAAGCTTGAAAGTTTTAAAAACTATGCGAAGCAAAATGATTGTAAGAAACACAGTAACCCAACAGTACGAACGTTACGAGCGGTATTTCATTGCTATTCTTCAACAGAGCACGGACGAGGCCTCAAAGAATTTACATAGATGACTTCGTAGATAGAACAACTGTGAGGAGTCGTATTGAAGGTGGCAAGGAATAGGGAAATATGTAAGATTCGCATAAATGCGCTTAGTAAACCCTGCTGCTTCGCTTGGTTCTGAAAAACAGATTCAAAGCTCGTTTCGAGAACAGTCATTAAAAGAAAAACTTAAGTTATTGATTCAACTTCAAAATTAATTGGGGTCAGTA